TCGGCGTCGGCGCAACAAGTCACGGATTTCATGGGCCAGGCTGAGCCGTTCCAGCCCAGCTGGCCGACGGTGCCGGGCGAGCGCCCCTCCCCTGCCCCACGAGGTCAGCGCCCCTCCCTCCTCCGCACGGGCCGCACCAGCTCCGTGACGCCTCGACCGGCCGCCACCTGCTGCATCGTGCAGAGACGTCACGTCGTAACGACGATGATCCGGACATTAAAAGCGCGCCACCTGTGCTGCCGAGCGCCAATGACGTCACAGAGCCGACCCGGCGCGGTCCGAGGTGCGGACTCCGCAAGTCCGACTGCTGATTCCGGGCGGGGCCGGCCTCGGGCCGGGCGTGCATCCAGGGCCGACCACCGGCAGGGCGTGCCGCAGGGCAGTGCAACGGCGCCTCCCACAGCCGACGGCGCGCATCCAAACGGCCCGTAATCGGGGCCACAACGGCGGCCAAACGACGTCGGCCGGCGTCCGGGCGCGTCACAGGGCATGCCTGCGGTCGGCCCGACTGCCTGGTCCCGCAACACAGCCGTCTGGCTCTACTGTCTGACCGTGGAGGTACGGGAACACAGCCGTCTGGCTCCACTGTCTGGCCGTGGAGGTACGGGAACACAGCCGTCTGGCCGCGGAGGCACGGCACAGGGGCCCGGGGGCGCGACTCGACCCCGTCCGAACCCGCGCTGATCCGCGCCGCCGCGCCGCCGGTGTGGGCCTCAGCGCATTCCAGCGGGCCGGGGCGGGCGCGCGCGGGCGCGGCGCCGCTCGGCGTCTCGGCCGGCGGCGCTCCACCCGACCGGGCGGCCGTATTAGGCGGCCGACCCACCGCCACGCCCGGACCGCGGTGCGGCCGGTGGCGAGCGCGACCGGCCGGCGGCCGCGCGCGCGTCAGGTCACTGACGTCACGTTACGACACGGGCGCGTCACGTCACGTCCCGTCACGGCGCAGCTTGCGGCGGCCAGCCGGCGGGCGGGGCAGCTGGTGATGCGCAGCTGGCAAGGTCAGCGTCCCGTCAGCTGAGCGTTGGCCGGGCGCCGCAGCCTCCGACGCAGGGGGCGAACGGTGGCTGAGCCTCCCCACCTCCTCAGAGGGACCCGGCGCAGAGACGAGACAAACCCCGGCCAATGAGGGGCGAGCACCCCGGCGGCCGCCAGCACCAGCTGCCGCCGGATGCCACCCCGCTCCAGCCCCAGCTCCAGTGACGCCTCGTCACGCGTGACGCGTCCTCGATTCCAGCATTCCTTCGGCGTCACCGGCGCTCGGCGTCCGGCCGGCGGCGGCGGTGAATCAAAGGCCGGATGTGAGCGCCGCCGCGGCCCACCGCCGACTGCAAAACCGTCCGACGCGTTAGGCAATCCCGACAGAAAACATCGGCCGACCGGCGCCGGGGCGTTGGCCTGACCGCGAGCGGCGCCTGGCGTCGGGCCGCCGGCCAGGGCGCAGAGTGGCGCCGCGCGCGCTCGAGCCGGCCACGGAAAAAGGCGCCGGACTGCGCAGCAGAGGCGGCGGCAGCGGCGGCGGCCTCCCCTCCGCTCGGCCGGCACATCTGGACGGCACGTGCGCCGGCGGTGGCCCGTCGGGACACCCCCGCCCTCTGCCGGCGGAGCGCCGTCTGTTCGCCCGACAGCCCGCGTGTCCCACGACGCTGCCAGGCGCACGGGTCGGTCGGGAGGGGGAGGGGCGGCCGGCCGCCGCCGCCTCCGCCGCGGAGGCACGCGCCGCCGGTGTAGCCCGTCGGTGCGCCGCGTGCAGCCGGCAACGCGCCTAATACGGCGCCGGGCGGCCGGCGCGCCGGTCCGGACCAGCTCCCGGCGGCAGCGCGCGCCGCGCGGACGCCCGGCTCGCCGCCCAGCGCCGGAAACGGACGTGCAACGCCGACGCCGGGGAGGGAGAGGGGCGCACGGAGAGGGGGAGGGGCGCTCGTCACGTCCCGCGGCCGCAGCGGCCGTCGGCGCGGCTCGGCCGCCCTCTCGGCACCGCGGCCGGTGCCTCCGCACCCGACAGCTCGCCGCGCCGTCAAGGCCAGCGCTGTGTGACGTCAGCGCCGGACGGGGCGGAGCGGCCGGGCCGGTGTTTACCAGCCACATGCGCTGCGTACACCCGCCGCCGACCAGAATGGGTGACGCGGCCGCGCCCTACTCGGCCGACGCCAGCGCACGTGGAGGAATGACGCGCCGGCCGGGTGCCCGCCGCGCCAGCACAGATACGAAGACAATGCTTCCGCGTTGTGGAGTGCAACGCCAACAAGGCGGTTACGCGGAAAGGCGGCGACGGGTACAAAAGTCCAGAAGCGGTGCGTCGAACAAAGTTCAACAGGTGGGAGCGGCGGCCCGCGGCGTACCCGCCGCCATCGTGCGGCGGTTTGGCAAGCGTAGCACGAGCGTGCGTGCAAAATGCTCAGCTGTCGATCGCCAGCCCGATAACGGCGGCCGGCGCCGGCCGCTCGGTGTCGGGGCGTCCGGAGAAGTTCCCGGCCTCCAGAGGCCGTCGCTTGCCGTCTGTCAGCGGGTGGTCCGGCCACCCCGGGTCCGGTGTGGTGCGCTCGGAAATGACCCGGTCTGACGTCACGCGATGCCGACTGTCGGGGCCTGGACTAGTGTATCCGGAGATCTGGACCAGTCTATCAGGAGATCTGGACCAGACTACCAGGAGATCCAGACCAGTGTATCCGGAGGTCTGGACCAGTCTATCAGGAGATCTGGACCAGTGCATCCGGAGGTCTGGACCAGTTTATGAGGAGATCTGGGCCAGTGCATCCAGAGATCTGAACCATTCTATCAGGAGATCTGGACCAGTGCATCCGGAGGTCTAGACCCTGGAATTTACTGGAAGGACGCCAAGAAAATTTACTGGAAGACCCCAGTCAATCCAGAGGTCTAAGCCAGTACAGCAGCAGGTCTGGACCAGTACAACAGTCGCGTCCCATTTCGTCCCGGGACGGCCGGGTTCGGTCGTTCAATACATGATGTTGGGCCGGGGCTGAGCCGCGCTCGAGTCTGCCAGCGCTGCTGACGGCCGTCCTGTTTGGACTGGCACCGGGAGCGGTGCTATAAACACCCCGCTGACGGCGGGCGGCGGCACGGTACACGTCACCTGTACACGGACCACCGGTACACCAGCCAACGGTACATGGACCACCTGTGCACGGGCCGCCGACCACCTGTACACGGACCGCCGAAACAAGGACCACTTGTAATGGACCACCTGTACATGGGCAACCGGTACACGGACCACCTGCACACGGACCATCTGTACACGGATCACCGGTACACGGACCACCGGTACACGGACCACCAGTACACGGACCACCGGTACATGGACCACCGGCGCACGGACCACCTGTACACGAACCACTGGTACACGGACCACCTGTACGCGGACCACCCGTACGCAAACCGCCGGTACACGGACCACGTGCACACGGACCACCGGTACACGGACTACCATGCATTGACCACCAATTCACGGGCCACCGGTACCGGGACCATCGGTAAACGGACCGCAGGTACACCGACCACCGGTACACGGACCAACCGTACACGGAACGCAGGTACACGGACCACCGGTACACCGACCACCGGTACACCGACCCTGTACACGAACCACCGGTACACGGATCACCGGTACACCGACCCCTGTACACGAACCGCCGGTACACGGATCACCGGTACACGGACCGCCGGTGCACGGACCGCCGGTACACGGACCACCTGTAACATCTGGGCCCTGGGACCTGGAATAACACACGTTAGCACACAACTACCAGCATAGCGGCCACTGCCGGTGCACTGACCGTCAGGGCGGCCGTCAATACGTCGACCAATGGCGCATCCGCACCAACCACCGACACGTCGACCGCGACACACGCACCAGCAAACCCACCGGTCTGCAGCATTCCCTGAGCGTGACATCGACCGCGATGTTTTGAGCATGCTGACCACTCGCGCACCGCCAGGCAGCTGACCACCGGCTGACGGTAATCGCCCGCACTGCTGACCAGTGGCGGACTCGCCGACACCAGCCTCAGCAAAGCTACGCATTTGTTGTCGAACTTAGGTTACACCATGTTCAGGGGGGTGGGAAGTCAATGACGGACATTGCGTGTTTTGTATCGAAGTGCGGTGATCGGCTGAATGTCCACTGCTTAGCCGCCATAAAAACAGCCGCAGCATGCTACGCAGCCCTGTTCGGCAGCACCGTCCGCGCCATCGCGCACATGAGACTCGGCCGGCGCGGATCTCGGCTCGTCAACGCTCAGCTGGGCCAGCAGACTGGACGGCCCTGCCCGCGCCGGCCGCCGGGGGGACGAAGGCGGCCGCCGGCGCACAGCCGCCCGGCCCCCCCACGGCCGACGCCGGACGTCCACGGTCGACCGCCAACCGGACACCGGCCGGCCCGGGCCGAAGACGCACCGACGCGACGGCATCGACGATTCGCCGACGGGCCGCGCCGCCGCCGGCCTTGGGGGCGCCGCGGCGGTCCGGGTCGGCCGCGACCGGCGCCCGAAATAGACGGAAGGGCGCCGCCCCTCTGCCGCCACCACCGCCCCCATCGGCGCGGCCGGCGCGGGGCGGGCGGCGCTGAAGCCAGGCGGAGACTCGGGCGTCGGCGAGAGGCGGTGATCCCCCGCGGGCGGGGCTTCCCGCGTCGACATACATGAGCCCGTCGGACACATGGCTATGAGGCCGCGCGCTAGCTCCAGTAACCATTTCCAGTCGGGATAGATCGCGTTCGGCACGTTTGGTACTGGAGAAACAGCAAGATAACGCGGCAACGATAACAAGGGCATGTTGGCCGCGGCCATCCCCGTTATGAACATCACTGCAGAACCGCCCTGTTATTTCAGCGGCACACTCTCACATCAGTCCTCCCAGAATCAGATGCTGCCATGGCCAGTGGTAATCACACCACTCACTGGAACTGCCTGCATAGAAGGTCTCCGCACACAGCCTTTGGACCCAGTCATTTCTCCATGAAAGCACCTTTGCCAGGTGGTACATACCCAGGTCGTCCACCAGCTTGAACATGACGCCACCAACATGCATGTCACCCTTGACACGGATCTTCTTCTCCACCTGCAGGTCCGTGACGAACACAGACAGCATCCAGGAGCCGTCCACCCGGAACCCATCCACACGGAACCCATCCGCCATCTGTGGAAATAAAGTGTAGTCAGGGCCTTGGCTAAAACACTAGGTGTTGAAATGTCAAGACATTAACAACAAATTCTGGGATGATAATATCACTTGAGAGAAGATAAGTTGAATGAAGATAATAATCACACTTGTATGGGTGGGTATGTTTGTGTGATTGCATTTCTATGTCTGCCAGGAATCCCTGGTGTCAGTCATCTTGTTTAAGGTTTGTCACAATTGACAGAAATAACAAGTTTACCTAAGGTCATCCAAAGACATAGCTATTGGCATATCATGATATGCAATCTTTGAACAATATCTTTCAATGACAGATCATTCAGTTCAACATAAACTTGACTAGTTTTGTTGACTGGTCATCAACTAGCTTTATCAACTAGTCATCACTTAGTTTCAACTAGGTCAATTCATGAAGAATGTAATGTGACAGCTGATAAACAGAAATGATAAACATAGGATACGAGGAACCAACTTTAATTAGATTTTGCTCTATTAGCACCCAAAAATTGGGCAAACATCATACTTTATAGCAGAGAAAGATATGATTGTAACCATTTCCCATATTTTCTTGGAGAACCTGCTATTGCTGTTAGAATATTGATGTTTTTGTGGTACCTTTCTGCATCTCAACAACTACCATGACAATATGGTAGAACATTAGTACCCAACATCCAGCTCATGTAATGTTTCAATATTTGTCTGCTTGGGTGGTCGGCTGCCCAAATTTTTGCATGCTATTACACCCCCTACGGCTTGCGGTTCACTTCCTGCCACCACCCCTTGCTCAAAATTGACCAATTAGCATCAGATGAGGCAGTAGTCAACCCAGGATGTCAGCGCCTCACAGCTGCCAAACAGCCAAGGCAGGTCAGATGTCTGGCTGGTTTGGTGGATGCCCTATTGGAAAGGTCATGGAACACTGAATGTAGATGGTCAACAAACACAAAGAGACTGCAAGCTACACTGATAGATGCTGAATCACCATGCTACACCTTATAAATGTGCTGCAATTGGGTTAGCCTACTACAATAACACAATAATGAGGGCCTGGTAGTAATGAAGGCATGGTAGCAGTCAGTGAGTACAAGTAATGAATGCAAAACATCACAACCTTAAAATTACCATGGTGGCTTGGAGAAAGCAAAAATGATCCCATAAACAACGGTGCTCATCTAGGTAGACAAACCTCAAACTAACCTTGATGTCGTAGGACGTCACTATTTCGAGAAAAGCTGCCAAAACCCAGACTGCGCAGGCCGCCTCCTCACAAGCGAATTATGTGGAACACTGACTGCTCAGCTCAGCATTATGTTGTGATTTCCACGCACAGTCGATCGAAAACGCGTTTCCAAAACCTCCTAGCGACACAGTCTTCCCTCACGGCCACCCAGCACGAGCAGCCCGTCCCACCTCACTCCTGCGATCCGTACCATAAACAGCCGAGGGAAGGCGACGGCGCATCACAGAGCCGCTAGTGATGGTTCGTGCATATCTCAACAAGTACTTACACATTTCTGATATCAGAACCAGACCACGGAAATTCTCACTAGGTGGATAAAATGCATGCGTAACCAGTGATGCGATTTTCCTTATCGCAGTAAACATCGCAAGGCACGAATGTCAAATATATTAGCAAATTACAGTGTTAAAAGTATCCATGTTGGGGTGCACCACGCTGGCGCTTCAATAGTGGCGAGTTATCAACACCGCCAAGTATTCATTTATCACCAATAGAGCAACAAAGGTACCTAAATTCGGTTTCCTCACCAGAACGGCCATAACGTAATCGAAAGGCAGTCTGCCTGTCTTTTGAAATAGATTTGAAACACTGGTGTAGTTTCCTTTTTAGGTAGGAGGCGGGATTTCAGTCCCCTAAATTGGACCTCAGTCCTCAACTTTGGGAAGAAAGTGGGCAAAGTCTGGGGAGAAATCCGCTTGGTGGTATATTTTGGTGGGCCGGTTTGGTCATTTTTCTATTGTTCGGCACCCCCCTCCCTCCCATCAGCTCATTTTGCGAAACTCTGTCTCTGATCTGAGGCGCGCTAGGGCAGTGCGATATTGGGGCTCAAACTCTCAAATGGCTCCGCGCTTTAAAGGGAGTGCGCCACCTTTGGAGTATATTTCAAAGACATACTTATCACCAAGTGATTCAAGCCCTTTCCGGTACTCTTTTAAGTACCCTTTACCCCATAAAAGTGTCCTGTCCTTGCAAATACACATCCCATGTTGTCAAAAAGTGTAACTCAACTCTGTTCTGCTTTCATAAAGTGCGTCATCACCTTACATCCGAGGCTCGTAAATCAATCATCCAGTTCAATTATGTCAGCGTGTCACCCGGGCGGCAGAGGCGGGTGCCCTTGACCTGCCAGCTCTTCGCCTGTCAGTGGCACGCAAGGGTTTTTTTTCGCATCGCGTGGCCTCATCCAGAGCCACCTGCCGCCGACCATCATCCGCACAGGCACGTATGTACCAATGTTTGGGTCATGCTCGGCGCTCAGACGCCGCCAGAGGTCACTCGACCCCGCCCATGACTGGTGCGTGCAGCCTGCTCGAGATTAATGGGTGATGCGAGGGTGCAGGACGAAACAAGAGGGGAGAAACTGGAGTGGATGGAAGCCTGTTACTATCAGAGTTCATTTTTGGACCAACACAGAACATTGGTATAGTAAACACTTAGTTTCCTGCCAACAGACGTGCAGTGGCTGCAAATGATCCGCATATGAAACGGGCTGGTGCCAGACTTGATGACTCCTCGCGCCGTGAGAGAAATGATCGTGCACGCCACGCCGTATCAGCTATTGGCATCAGAACATGTGCCCGTAGAGAAATCGCCACGCTTTCAGCGTCACCTAGTGTCACAACGGACACTTAAAGCCATGCTAGCCTCAAAAGATGGCGCTGATAAATCGGCCTCCGGGACCAGGCTTACCGTGATCACCTGCTTCGGAGGCCGGCAAGGGACGCAGAGCTGGTAGGGGGGGGGGGGGGGGTGAAGGGAGGGGCTCCGTAGTCTGGGTGGAGTGACGTGGTACATATGTGCTCTCGAGGTCTGATATGCTGATAAGATATGGTGGCCATGCGTGGCGGCGTGCTGCAAAGGTCACCGTGGGCAATTGGTCCTCGAGCTGGCTTCACGTCATTCTGTTTCCAGCTAACGCTTTGCTCCCTACTCACATTGGTTTGGGCATGTTACTGCGATCTTGACATCATTATAACTGGAAGCTGAGTTTCATGTTATTTTTAACCGCCTGCACGAAATCATTTCAAGGATTCCCGTGCCTTTGCTTGGCATCATCGCTTAGTTTAAAGATGGTTCGCACAAAATTACTCATTTGTCAAATGAGGTCAGCCATGTTGCAGCTGCATGATCATCCTACGTCAACATCCTTCATGAACATCGCGCGGGTCACAGTACTCAAAATTACTCAAGTACTCATTCTTTTGTGCGAACCATCTTTAATCTAAGCGGTTATGCCATGTCAATGGCCCGGAAACTAGAACGATGCGTCAGAAAGCTTGCCAATGCTGAGTCAGCAGTTGTTTTTAATCAAACATGTATAAAGAAAAGGATTCTGCCAAAATATTCAATATATATATATATATATATATATATATATATATATATATATATATATATATATATATATATATGTGTGTGTGTGTGAGTGTGTGTGTGTGTGTGTGTGTGTGTGTGTGTGTGTGTGCGTGTGTGTGTTTCACAAAGCAAGAACCCATGTTACTGTGCGCAGCCCTATAAAGCTAGGCGTGCTGCGTATGCACATACATGGAGCTCACTTATTTTCTACAGGTCATGTTAAATCAAGTGATTTTGAAGCTAACTGTTTCGGGAAAAAACATGCAAGATAAACTTAAATTGGCTGCTACATACCATCAAACCGGGAACAAACTTCGTTACTAACTTATTTACGGATAGCCGGCCGGGCGGTGCGACCAGCTGATGACTGATGACTAATGTAGAAAGCTTCCTTTGTTACAAAGCAGTGCATAATATCCTAACATTCGAAATATGTTAAGAACGTGACGCACAATTACCTATAATAAGCCACATATTCAATAGCCAACGGAAATGACCCGCACGACGTCGGTGGCACGTCAAATTACGTTCGACAATTGCGCTTAGAAATTCATCGGCACATATCCGATTGCTGCTCTAAGGCTAGGGCAACAAAACCAAAGTGAACTAAACCTGAGCGACCATGGGTGCCGCAGGAGACGAACAAACAGGGGCCTGTTTACGAGTATAGGGTCCTCAGAGCAAGCAAAAAGAATCTAAGACCAACGTGGTGTGCTCCTAAGCGGCCGATAGTGTTCCGGCAGGCTGACATGTGAGGGCCCGGCCAGAGCACATGACCCTCTGAGCAAAGAGAAATTACCCAGGACCATGAATCAATACCCCTGTGCGATCAACAGCGCCCGGGTAGGTTAACAGCAAGAGCCTCGGCAGTAGTGAAGAGTCCTCCGACAATGAGGTCAAAAGGAAAAAGCCCTAAATCAAAGTGGAGGGCCCGTGAGCATCGAATGTTTCAGTGCCTTAGCATATGTAAGTTCCAGCAACAGCACAAAGCCCGCAAGCAAGTGGAAAGAGCCCGATACTAGTATAATGGGCCCCTTAGCAGCTTAGTGTACCCCGGCATATGAGGCCCCGGAAAAAGTGTACAGAGCCTTTCGAGAGAACGGGAAAAATCTGTGGAGAAAAACCCGATCAATCAAGAGTGCTCAGGCATGGAAGTAGACAGTGTCCCAGCAGCAGCACTGGGCGCTACGAGAAAATGCAAAGACATCAAGGGCGACATGGAAAGATCCTTGGCGATCAGATGGGCCCGACAAGTGGACATATAGGGTCCGGGCAACGGCGTAATGTCACTGGACAGTGTAATGAGCCCCAAAGCGTCTCCCAAGCACAACCTCAATTAGCAAGGAATTCACTTTATCTGCTTACGAACTCTTTACTTTTGCCAGCAACCGTTCTTGGTCGTCTGTAGGCCCAAAAACATCCAATTGTGTTGTGTGTAATGTTTTGTTAGACAACTGCGTCCGTTCGACCGGTTGCGGGCGCCTTTGGAGCCTCAAGATCCCCTCGGCATGGTTCATTGGGGGGGGGGGGGGGGGGGGCGTGGTCCTGTGTCTAACCCCTCCCCGTCTGTATCCGCCACTGACCCGAGCAGCTTAATGGATGGGGCCCGCCAGGAACGTAGGACTATTCATTAAAATAAAAAGTAACCAAAACACAGCATGGAGAGCCTCGGAATGATCGAGTGTGCCCGAACAGGTAACAGATGGGAGCTGCCGAAAACAGCGCGGGGCCAGTTCCCGAGCAGGTTGTTATAAAGGGCCTCTGCCAAGAGCGTAGCGACCTCTATTCAAGTAGGAGGATCCCAAGACCCAATGTAGAGGGCCCCCGAATGATCGAGTGCGGCAGAGCGTGTTAACAGATAGGGCCCCGTCAAGAGCGCAGTGCCCTCCATTCAAATAGAAAGTACCCAAGACCCGACGTAGAGGTCGCCCAACAAACGAATGCTCCAGAGCAGCTTATCAGAAGGGGCCACGACAAGAACGCAAGGCCCTACATTCAAATCAGATGCACATAAAACCCAGCGCAGCGAGCCTCCGAGAGCTAAAAGCAAATGCAAATTATGCCCGAGCAAATTATCAGATGGTCCCGATAGGAGCGCAGGGCCCTAAATTCAAACACAAAGACCCAGTGCGCGGGGGCCCCCGAGCAATCCAGTGTGACCGAACAGTGAGGCGAACAGAGGAGCACCCCGACAATAGCGTAGGACCTCCATTCAAATAGGACGTACCCAAAATCTGATGTAGAGAGCCCTCGAACGATCGAATGCCCCGAGCAGCTCATCAGATAGGCCCCGGACAAGAGCGTAGAACATGCAAACAAAACGTACCCAAGACCTCGTGGGGAGAGCAGTCAAATTCAGTTGTATCCGAGCATGCTATCAGATGGCCCCGACAAGAGCGTAGAGTCCTACATTAAAATACCCAATGTGCGTGGCCCCTAAATAATCCAGTGTGGCGGAACAGGGTACCAGTTGGGGCCCTCACAAGTGTGCAGGGCAACCTATTCAAGTAGAAAGTCCCCAAGACCCAATTTGGAGGGCCCTGACCGACTGGGTGTGTATAAGCAGGTTAACAAATGGGCCCCCGACAAGAGCGTAGGGGCCAAAGACAGTGACATGGAATTGGAAACGCCCTAGACCAATGCAGAGGGCCCGTGAGCATATCGCGAGCGTGTCGGTGGCTGAACCGAAGCCAACGTAATTGGCCGCGAGCAAGCGAGAATACCCCGGGTGGTTAACATATGGGTCCTCGGCTATAGCTCACATATCCTTTCTGACAAATGAAAAAAATCCATGGAAGGCCCCTGATTGACAAGAGCGCCCGGC